ATTAAATAAAATTTAATGATAAATTTTAAAATTTATTTAAAGTAGGTATGATTTCATTTAAATTATTCAAACAGAAATGAATTGAATGAGCTAAATAATAGGAATCAACATCCATTTTATAAAATTTAGAACTCTACAATTACAAAGATCTTTTTGGAACTATCCAGCACAAATTTGAATTAATTGAACTTGGACCCTTTAATTTTTTTTTATCAAAATGACAATTGGGTTATAGGGGAGGAACAAAGATGGATTTATGAGTAGGGAGATGTAGGGACAGGTTGGCATGGCATGACCCACCCTAATTCCTTGAAATCATTCCAGTATTTAGCTTTACTCGATTTTAACCACAGGTTAAAACACCATTCCTTAATTTTGTCTTTCGGTTTTTTTTAATCTACTAGTATCTAAAAAGTGATATAGTTTTGGTCTTACGATTAAATAATTGACGAATTATTACCAGCGAATAATAATTACTAGAATGCTAGGAAATTTAGGCAAAAAAAGAAGGAAAAAAAAAAAAAGCTCGATGATGAACAGTCAACAACTAATTTAAGACTTTGAGTTGAAAAAAACCCCTTGGTGGGGCTTTGTTAGTGGAGTTAAGCAGCATTCAAAACGTCACAATTCAAAAACTCAGTCGCACCACTATCCGATTTGTCTCTTTACGTTTTGTTAGCTGTGTCATATTTCTGACAAATACATATGAAATGATAGGACATGTTGGTGATGGCGAAGCTAAAAGTAACTAACATTGATACATTTAATGTGGTTTGGTCGTTATGACCTCTCCATCTAATAATATAATGTCGTATATTTGGTACTATATATAAACTAAACCCAAAACGACTCGTCAATTGCGCCTCAGATCATATGATATACAGTGCTTGAATTAATTGGTAGCTGGAGGTCTACAGGAGCTTCAAATGGAGAAATATTTTGGCATGCTTAGATATTTTGTTTTCTTGCAAAATTTTAGGTTTTTAATTGAAGTCATTAAATCACTGTGATAAGATCCCAATTTAATGGCACATGATTTTTTTTTTTCGTTAAGAGTTTTAATAGACTAAAATAGAATAATACATTTCATTAATTTATTAAATTAGTGAAAGTAGATATAATTAAGAGGGACTTTTTGAAATTTCTCAAACTTCAGTACCGTACAATCACATTTATTAAATTAGAGAAAACCAACTGCAGTACTGTACAATCACATTTGACTTTAGTTGGCAAGAAATTACACTTACCGTTATTTCCAAACTTCAAAGAGATATTACACTGCATAGAATTTATTTTGCAATTAAAGTTCAGAAAAGCAAATGCGACTGCGTAATTTATCTAGATTGAAAAAAAAAAAAAATTCACAAATTAATTAATGAAGGATCTTGGACGGTACGCCTTTACCGGGACTCCCACCTCGCCACTTACAATTCACAGGATAATTCGTATATATATTACGCCTTTACCGGGACTCCCCACTCATCGCCACTTACAATTCCAACAGGATAAATTCGTATATATATATATATATAATAATACTATATATATAATATATATATATATATATAATAGACGACGACCACAAAATATAAATGAACAGTAAAAGGATAGAGTATAGATCAGTTCAGTAGTGATGAATAAAATAAAATTGAAATTATGGGAAATACTAATTAGGCCCATATATAATTTTTATTAACGGCCAGTTAGTATTACTACTTTATTTTTTATTTATGAATCAGAATATAATTCTTATTGAATTGTAGAGCCTTTAACATTGGTTTAGGCAAAATTTTTTTTAATTGGATTAAAGTCATTTTTATTATTAACATCAGAGATTGTAATATATAGACGAGACCAAATATAAATGAACAGTAAAAGGATAGAGTATAGATCAGTTCAGTATTGATGAATAAAATAAAATTGAATTATTGGAACTAATAATTAGCCCATATATAATTTTTTATTAAACGGCAAAGTAGTATTACTTACTTTTTTTTTTTTTATAGAATCAGAAGATATAATTCTTTTGAATTGTAGAGCTTAAAATTTTAGCAAAATTTTTTTAATTGTATTAAGTTCATTTTTATTATTAACATCGAGATTAGTGAATTAAAAATTTAAAAAAAAAAAAATTCATCCATTGTTTGATTTGAAAAGTAAAATTTTAATCAATAAATCGGAGAAAAAAAACCCATTTACAAGTTACAAGATAAACTAATAATTAGGGTTTTTGAGGTTTAATATGTATATATAGGTGGAATTAGGATGGCAGACTAAAACCCTAGGTAGAGCTTATAACCTGACAGAAATCTTTGGACATAAGTGGAAAATTGTGAGTGTAGGAATAGAGCAGAGGGGATCCAAAATCTGACGCGAGAGGCTCTCCTGCGTCGCTGACCACTGGAGCTTTTTTCGTCTGATGAAGCACAAGGCTCGAGTCTTCTCTTACCCACAGCTACTAGCGTACTTAGCACAAAAGGTTTAACTCATAATCCCACTTTTGTTAATTTTCTCTAGATCACGAGCAAAAAAAGATAAACTAGTACTATTGATCAGGCGAGTCAGTGTTTCTTTTTCTATCAAAAGTTTCACATTAAACCTAAACCTAAACCTAATAGACTGTATTCTTAAAACTCCTAATTATACTGTCTAAATGGCAAAATTCATACATTAGGCGTTAGATTGTTTCGATCATATGGACTGATGAAACACGAGCTCTATGAAAGAAAAAGAAAAAGAAATGAAATTTATAAACAACTAATTGTGAGGATTCAAAATCAATTCGATGCGTAGTTCCACAACACTAGGGCAGAGGACGGAGAGTTTTAATTACATAATTAATATGAGGGCTTTCACCATAATATAAGATGACTCTATTATTTAATTATTGACATGTAAAAATGAACATATTGTGGCAGCACAGCATGCATGGTAAGGTGTACGAAAGAGGAAAAGCTATGACTGTAAAAAAGCTGGTGGGAGCAATTTGTTGCTGTTTGGGGAGATATGAGGATCAACATCAATCTCCTCTATTTTTTTTTTTTCTTTTATCTATATTGTAATATTGCAAAATTGTAAAATTTAAACTGGGGTGAGGTTGGGCAGAATCCGATAAAGCTGATATTGAATGTCTGATACTTTTTGGCCTCTCCAACTGACCGGTGTGGCTTTGCCTCCCAATCCTTTCTCTCTCTTTATGTCTCTGTAAGAGAGAGAGAGAGAGAGAGAGAGTTTTAAGGGGGGAGAGACTAGAGAGAGGATTTGATATTGATAGCTAAGTTCTTTCAGCTTAGCTTAGATAACCCCACATATGCCTTTGCATGCCCCATAACAGATTTTTCTTCTTCTTTTTTAACCACACAAAGACATGCACAAGCCCCAACTCAAAGAGAGAGTTATGAGTTTTCTTTCTATGTGCACACCACAAGTTTTGCTTTAATCAATTTTCTCTCTTTCACCCACCCTGCTGTTTCTACAACTGTTGCTACTAATACTACCACGAGCTTCTTTCTTTCTACTTGCATAAAGACAAAAACACCTCACTCTTCGTGTTTCCACATTTTGTTTTTACTTTTTACCGCTTCTTTCAATCGCATATCGAGACACCCCAACATTTATCATTCCTTTTTTCTTCAACCAACTCAATTCATCAATTAACTTGTACTATACATTTCTTTTTTCTTTTTTTGAAAAGTTATACCATGCATTTCTATTCAAATAAATTCACTTGATTTTTTAACTCTTTCCATTATATATATATTAAAGAAAAATGAGAGCAAAGCTTTAAAAAATATTTTTATAATATAGATAGGTTACTTGTTTGGAAGAAATCAATTTCACAGAATTTTGCAAAATACATTTGTAAATTTAAATTTTTACATTTAGTATGAAAAAAAATAAGAACAAAATTGCACAAATTTAATTCTATGAATTTGAAAAAAACTAAGCCAAATTCTACGAAAAAAATATGGAATTTTCAAATGAAACAACCTAAAACTTTATAACAAAACTCTCCGTTATTCTAGTCTTTTAAAATTGTTATGCCAAGGATATTTTAAAAATAAAAACAAATGAATTTCCAATTTTTGAATTTACTTCAAACATGAAAAAATTCATTTACAAATAAATTTTATCTAGATTTCATTTATTAATGAATTTCATATTTTGAGTTTATTTATACATGGAGCGTAAATTTTACTATTAGTTTTAATGTTTAATCTGAATTTCAGCAGAATATGAACGAATATCCTACCAAAGCGTAAAAATACAAATGCTAAACACTGATTAAAAAAAAAGAAAAAGAAAAGGAGCCAATTTTTTATAGTTGCTAGTAGTATATATATATATATATATATAATTGGGTTAATAGTTAAAAATTGTTTTGTGAGACTCCATTTAAGAATTTTCTATCTACAAAGGAAAGGAAAAAGACATATATATGTATTTGTTAAGATATATATATGTGCCTTAATTTTAAGAATCCATAAGAAAGCTAATGCTGAAAAGAAAAAAAGCAGTAAAATTGCATTGTCCTACGTTATTCGGAATTTCAGAGAGCAATTGAATTAAGGGCTGGACAGTTTCTGGCAACCAGGTCGACATCTTAGCCCACCATATAGAAGATGCCATACCCACCTTTTACAAGCCCTAGGTAGGGCTCAAGGTATCTTAGCCGTGGGGCTGTTGATAGGAGCCCTTTGTGGCCCAAAAGTGAGATAGAGGATAGAGGATACGGCTACTTTTAGACAACTGAATCCACGATTTCTTGATTTTCCGAAGTTAAAAAGTAGCCCATTACGATTACAAAAATAAAATGGAACAAAGAAAATTATATTAAAAATAAAACCATAATTTATTTACTAATTACTGATATTAATGACATTTTTATTTGAAATATCAACAGGAAATGCAAAATTCATGTATTAGTAACTAACAAGTGGCAACCCACCACCCAAAGAACATAACAAAATGTGTGGCTATCGTATTCCTAGCCAATGCAAATACAAGTGGATACAAATTTGTTCACCTGCAAATATCTGCACTTTTCTCTTCTTTTCCCTCTTCTGTCATTTCTTCTCATCCATTTTTGCATCCTCAATAGAACTAAAAACAACAGAAAGAAAACCTCTGCAATGGCATTGACTTCTCTCTCTCCATTATCCATTAAATCTCTCAAAATCTATTCTTCATCCACAAAGTCTCCATACCATTTACCCTCTAAGCCTTTTAAAATAGTTTGCCAATTAGAGACACAAAGAGAAGATCTGTTTCTTGGTAAGTAAATAAATATGCAATGATCTTAATCAAAATTAGTGATGTTAAACTTGTCAATTTCTAAAACTAACCAAGTTTGCCTTGAAAAGGAAGATTGTTCCAAAATTAGGTCAAAGGTCAATAGTTCTAAATCTAGCAACTGGAGAACACTTGTTTCAACTGCATTGGCAGTTGCAGTTGTTAGCTTTAGCTCTAATTTGCCAGCTTTTGCTGATCTTAATAAGTTTGAAGCTGAGCTTCGCGGTGAGTTTGGTATCGGATCAGCAGCTCAGTTTGGTTCTGCAGATCTCAGGTTTGTTGTAATTTATGATGTTTTCTGCTTTTTCCTATGAATTTTTGTGTCCTTAATTGCTAAATTGAGTGTTTTTTCCTTTTCCCTCTCCATACAGGAAAGCAGTGCATGTGAATGAAAATTTCAGGTGATTCCTTTGTTTCTAATGCTCTCTGTCACTCTCTTCCAATTTAGAGAATAGGATTATCTTAGAAGTATGGCTCAACTAATGCAAGTAAATATTGAAAATCACAAATGGAAGAAGATAAACTTGCACCATAAATGTCAAGCATAAAAACTTGGCTCAAAACTACTAAAAATTGCATCAAGTATTCTTCTACTTGTTAACTGAAATTTAATGACTAAATTTGCTACTGCAAGTTCACTATGTGTGCTTATATATCTCAATGGCTGATACAGAAGAGCCAATTTCACAGCTGCTGATATGAGAGAATCAGATTTTAGTGGATCAACGTTCAATGGTGCATACCTGGAGAAAGCAGTTGCATACAAGGCAAACTTCACAGGTAAACTTGTAGTCTATCAGATTGTATGATTGTGTGACGGCAAATTAACACAGCAAGAATAGTAGTTTCTAATTCTAGAAGTACTGCACATATGCCTTTCCTGTTCCCATTACCATATAAAATCTCTTCCTCTAGATTAGTGCTACTTCACTCTGCTTTTCCTTTTTCTCCATGGGCAATTGGGTGCAGCCATCAATGCTTGCACTATCATCCGATGTCCAGGAAACTCCAGATATGCAGAGGCCATTTCCTGTGACAGAGGCATGCTATTTTGGCATGATGATTTTTCATCAAGGCATTTATCAATCTCATTCTCGCACAGATTCTCATCTTTAGTCTCCAAGCATTCAGAATTTGATTGCAGCATATTTCCGTCACCAGTAATTGCAATATTCTTTTGGCATCCACTCTTACTAGTTACCTCTTCTTTCTTCCTATCTGATGTGTTGTCAACATCAGATATGATGTGACCTAATCCATCGGTTTTTAAATCAATGGATTCAGGAACAACTTCCTTATTAAGTTGTTGATTTTTCCTTCCACAACCTTGAGGAAAGCATCGAATAGCTGGAAGCAGATAACCTTGAGCCACCTTCTGCATAATTTTAGTTGGCATTACCGTAGTTTCACAAATTGAAATTTCTGATGCGTTTACCAATCCTGCATTATCCAAAGAGTCTTGCAAAAATGTTTCTAGCAGTTCAACTTCTGTGTTCAGTCCAAACTCTAAATTATTATTATCAAATGGAACCATTAACTTCTCTTTAAACCTCAAACCATCAGCTGTTGCCGGCACCCTGCAATGAACTCCATTTTCTAATCTTTTAGGAGGACCGCAGCCTTTAGGAAAATTGCGAACAGCCAATATTTTCCTCTTTACATGCTTAATTAGAACATCAGGAGAAGCAAATTCATTAGCCTCTGCCTTCCTTTTGAAACTCAATTTAGAAGAATCACATATGTTTTCTAAATACATTGTTGAGTGATAAAATACTTCAACACTTCTAACATGTACCTGCATTGGCCAATGTAATTTCCACGAGTAAGAATGACAAAAGCCAAAAACCATCAAACAAAAGCACATGTATATTCTTACTCTCTCTGTTTCTTGTGGGAACCAAAATTTCATGGCTCCTGATCCCACAGCACAACAGAGACTTTAATTAAAGAAACCATCATATATAATATTTTGAGGGAGAAGAAAGGAAACAACGTACTTACTCCACAAACCAAACTTCATTTTCTTGATTATACTATAACCTATGTAAATAAAAATTTTATTTGAAATAGCAGGTTTCAAGCACAAAAATAGTGAATATATAGAGGGGGAAAATTGATCGGTTTCCTTATCCATGCCTACTCCTAATAGGGGAAGGATGGGCGTGGCGATCTTTTTTTTTTCCTGCACATTGACTTGCAAACCCAGAAATCCAACCCATTATAAGATAAATTATTGGTAAACCATAACGGATAGGATAGGTGATCTCAACCCATAATATAACAGGTAAACCTAATTCTATTGGTAAATCATAACGGAGTGCAATAACAATAAAAGAAAAAAGAAAAGAAAATTTATTCAATTTCCAATTATCTATTCCCTGTTCTTGATTCCAGGAAAAAAAAAAAGAAATAATGAAGACAAGACCCGTAGCAAGAAATAGAATCGATGGGATACAGACTAAAATAACAGCCAAGAAAAAGAACAAAAGATCTACTGCGAATAACATAAACAAAGAAAAGACACTAACGAACAAAATATCTAATGCAAATCAACGAACTAACATCCTGTCATAGGTTTAATGGATTAACTGACCTGTTTCTGTCAAAGGTTTAGCAAGCCTACAAGTTTTTGGATTAATTATTAGGATCGGGTCAGTCTGTAAAGAGGGAAAGTCAGTATACGCGGCAGGAATTACTCCCACTCCTCGATTTTAGGGTGATTGTTTTGTGTAAGATTAGGTCCTTTAAAGGTTCAAACTGCCCCTTGAATTTAAACTCAATATACAATTTGCCCACATTTCATCTTTTTTTTTGACAAAAATCTTATCATCTTATACGTAAACCTGCAAGCTATTCATTTTCTAACTTGATAAGAGCTCGTCCTCTACAAACAGGGCCAAAAGCGAGTGAGGAAGGTGAATTATTTATTCCCCTTAGCTCTTTGTGCTCTACGATACATTTGCCCACATCTCAGTTTTTTCATATCTCAATTTTTTCATGTTTTTATCCTTAAAACTTCTTCATTAATTTTTTTTCATCCTTAAAACTCTACGATACATTTTTCTTCATGTTTAAAGAAAATCCAAGAGAAAAAAGAAAACCTGACAAATAAAAAATCAAACAAGAACAACTATTACAATGCACTATAAAATTTAACTTTTCCTTTTTGTTTTGATTTTTTTCTATATATATTCATGCTTTGAATATATTTAAACTTTAAATATGACAAAAATAAAGCAAAACATAAAAATTAAAAAAATTAAAAGGTTGTTTCTCCATTGCGGAGAAACAGCTTCTCATCTCAAACAAAGTACTGTTCTATAAAAAACAGATAACGATTTCTATATTCCTTATTCTTTGCATTGCTCATAATCCACTCCAAGAAGAAGAAGAAAGTGAGGTCAATTGCATTTGCCTGAACAAAACTGAGTTGGCAAAACTACTTGTTGATTTTGTGCTACTGCCATCGTGAGAGAGAGAGAGAGAGAACGAGAAGATAGAAAATAAAGCAACAAAAGCAATAGTGAAACAAAGAATGTGAAATCCAAATCTCTAAATTATTGAAATTCGGTAAATTATAGAACTAGTTTGAAGAGATTCCTAAAATGTTCCATTTCTTCATTGATTTTGTTGTACAAGACTGCCTTCTCTCTTTGTTTTTGCTGTACAGCACTGCTAATCAATTTTAGGAATTTTGAGATTTATGGAGTGTAGACTCCCTCTCTCTCCATTAATCAAGTTAATAATAAAGAAAATAAAATTTAATTTTTAATTTTACATTGACCGCGTGTAGCACATGCGAACTAAGCAAGTAATGAAAGGAGCAGTTTGTAAGTTTATAACTAAGGTGGTGAGATTTTTGTAAAAAAAAGGTGAAATATGGAAAAATTGTATATTGAGTACAAGTTCACGGGACATTTTGAACCTTCTTTCCAAGTTTTTTTTAATTCCAAGTTTTTTTTAAGGAGTAATAAATGATATTTTTTTCAATATCATTTTATTTATATTATATTATTTTCTGGTTTTAAAATAAATGATAATTTGATCAAACCATCTTTAGTTTTGTTCTTTTGAGAAGAAGAAAGTTATATCTCCAGTTTTAAATTTATTCAAATTTTCCTCTTAAGTTTTTAAAAGGTACATATTTATGGATTTCTGTGATAAAATTTAAATATCGTTGGCTAAACTTTAAGAGAGTAAGTTCTCGTAACTTATAATTTCAAGATATTCAATAAAAAAAAAAAAAGGAAAGTGTTAATTATAACATAATTTAGGTAACTAAATGTATTTTACTCATTATTTCATTAATAAATTTTCTTATTTGCCTAACTTTCCTTTTAGTTGTTACCTAAACGACAACGGTGCATGAAAACACACAAGTTAGGAAGAAAAGTGTGCTTCTTTGCAAAACCATAGTAATTTTATAGAAGTACACACACCTATGTAACTTACTTATACTCTTTTTGTCCACCAAATCATTTCTACCGGAAAATTTGACAACATATCAGACTTTTGAAGCTGGAGGTGACGGGATTTAATTCTAAGACTTTAATTTTTATATTTGCACTTTTCATACTTACAATAGAGAGATTTTTGAAAATTATAACAATTGACGGGGGTCATTTGTAAAAGGTAAAAACGAGAAAAGAATTTATCATTTCTTAATACTTATTTGTGGATATGATACATTTGCAAATGTGATAGTTATTTGTAGATGAAGGAAGTATTAATTAGAGATTGATTAGTATTTAAATGGCCATTAAGCTGTTAATTAATAATGGAATTATAAGTACTGTATTTTTGTATCTATACATATAATAAAAAGGAGAAAAGGAAGACAAGTAACTATTGGATATTTTGTTTTGACAATTCAACAGGTGCAGATTTGAGTGACACCTTGATGGACAGAATGGTATGATAATAACAATTAATACTAGCTATTAGTAATTTGATTTTCCTATAACTAATATATTCTAATTTCGGTCGGTCCAAATTAAAAATGTAATACAGGTTTTGAATGAGGCGAACCTGACAAATGCTGTGCTTGTTAGATCGGTTCTCACTCGCAGTGATCTTGGAGGAGCCATCATTCAAGGTGCTGATTTCAGCGACGCAGTTTTGGACCTTCCACAGAAGCAGGTATTATATACATGTAATTAGTTAATTAATTAAGTTCAGTGAATTAATTAATGACTAACATAATTTTAATTATGATTTCATATATAAAGGCTCTCTGCAAATATGCAAATGGAACAAATCCAGTAACCGGAGTAAGCACCAGAAGAAGCCTAGGGTGCGGAAATAGCAAAAGGAACGCATATGGTAGCCCTTCTTCTCCTCTTCTTAGTACTCCTCCTCAGAAACTGCTTGATCGTGATGGTTTCTGCGACGAACAATCCGGTCTTTGTGATGCTAAGTGATTTTTACCCACATAATTGTCTATATATATGTATATAAATAGATCCATATTTTACTATGAGGCAGAAAAAAATGATTTAATTAAACTTTTGAATAGTTTGTGAATACAGATTTTGAGGAACGGTAAGAATCTCCAACGTATCAATTATAATTTTCTAGTGTAATTCCAATCGGTAAATTTAGTTCTTTATCAAGAATTTTAACTTCTAATAATAATTTTCAACTATTTTATCTTAACGGAAATTCAACATTTGGTATTAACCTCGGATAGATCAAAATTTGAAACATAATCATATAGAGCATGAAGATATACATGATGCACACAAAGTTGCACAATTATTAAGATTAGGGGCCTGAAAATTATTAGGTACTTTGTGGCTTGCCATATATATAATTACCAATACACCCGTGCTACAAAAATATATATATATTGATTTGATAGTTTACAGCTACAAAAATATATTAAATAATCTTTAAAAAAGGAGACAAAAAAAAATTGAGTAAAAACTACTTACCCATTAATGAAAATAGTTGAAATACTGAGCTGTAGAAAATTCTGAACTAAAAAAAAAGAATAATATATTTAAAAGCAAGAAAAAAAAAAAGTGTTGAAGTAAAACTACTGTACGCGCATTAAGTGAAAATGAGTTGGAAATACGTGAAAGGCTGTAGAAAATTCTGGAACTAAAAAAAAAAGGAATATATGGAATTTAAGAAGGCAGAGGACCCGATGGCACATTTGCTGCCGAAGAATACAGAAAGAATATAGTGATACACACTTATATATAGTTTATTTTTAAAAAAGCTAAAGTGTGTTTGTTGAGGGTAAATTAATTAAAATTTTTTAAAAAAAGTGGCATTACTTAGTGATCAATTTTTAAAAAATGGATGTGTGTAGATTGGAAGCGGTTGAAGATAACATTAATGAATAATTAATAATAATTACTTAAAGAATAATATATTTAAAAGCAGAGACCAATGCACATTTGCCAAGAATACAGAAAAATATAGTGATACAACTTATATATAGTATTTTTAAAAAAGCTAAAGTGTTTTTTGAGGGTAAATAATTTAAAATTTTTTAAAAAAGTGCATTACTATATCATTTAAAAAAAATGGAAATGTTTAGATTGGAAGCGTTGAAGATACATTAATGAATAATTAATAATAATTACTTAAAAGTCATTAATATATTAAATAATTAAATCAAATCAAACAAAAAACACTAATTCAAAATAAATTCAAACGAAACCAAATCAAGCCAATATATTAATACATTAAATAATCAAATCAAATCATGCCAAATGGAAATCTAATTAGAGAAATATGTCATTTTTCGAATTAACATGCGAAATGGTTTATATATATATTATGTCTTACAGGAGAAACTCTTTAAAAGACAAAGTTTATTACAACCCAGAATTTGCAATTAATACATAGGATTCAATTTTTTTTTCCAATAAATTTGCAACCCAAAATCTGGCTCTTAAGCTGTCTTTCATGGACTATATATGTGAATTATTATCAACCAATAATGAGATGAGAAATATGAAGATTGACGAAGAAGAGAAGTCTTGCAGTGTAAGGTCAATTAACTAAAAAGAGATTAGTTACAAAGAAACACAGGACCTACTATTAATTAATTATGGGGAAAAAGGACCTTTATGTAATATGACGTCAAAGAACAAAAAGTAGTGGTGGATAAGCCTATATCTAAACTCCCAAGTCAAGCATCGATCAGCCGTTAAAGAAAGGAAATCAATCAAGTTGCTTCATCTTTACTTTTCTCTTTTTTTACAAAGTGGACCAGGAAAAGATCAACTCTGAAAATAATAAATTAAAAACCAAAAATGGAAGAGAAAAGAAAAGAGTGAAACATTAATCAAGAAGCTGAGGATTGCTTGTCTCCTTGATGGTTGGTCCTCAAGCATTACCAATCAGAGAATGTGCCCTCTTACCCTATCAAGTCTCTGTCTTCTTGTCCTCCTCACCAAGAGACATGCATGCTTCCCTTCCCAATATCCAAACTTCTCATCACAAATTCAACTACACTACTCTACTCTCATCTAGCTATTGCGCCTCTCTTTATTGATGAATTACTACTTGTGGTATCTACACTTTAGGTATATACTACTAGTAACCATACACATTTTCACATATACGTATTTGCTTTTACAAGACAAATACAATATAACTACTCTTTTAATTACTTACTTCGAAAAAAAAAAAAACGATAGATTACAAATTAATATAGCTTCCCTTTTTTTACTTTCATGCTACTAAGAGTTTAACGGTTCAACGAGAAGACTCTCAAATTCGGAGCACTTAGGTTAAGGTTCTCTCCAAATTCATCAAGGTGGAATTTAGTACGTTTTAACAATTGCATCAAACTATTTTAGTTAGCTTCACTTTCATTATTATCTAGTCATTCACTTATATAATGGCAATTTCCAAAAAGATTTTTTTTTTTTTACTGCACAAACAGAAAACATTTATCTTTCCAAATTCCAAATTGTGAACAAAATAAATCGAAAGCTTGAAATTACTTCAATCCCCATGCATGAATATGGAAAAGATTTGGTAGGATGTGATCCTAATAAATAGTACCAAACTCAAAACCCTTGTCTTGCAGGAAAAGGGTACCCACTTGTTCAATTATTTTGATGCAAAATCGACTGTGGGATCGATAGACTTTGGCCTTCCGTGACCATCCGCCGGCACAAGTAAAGACTAAAGACATTTCAATTTTCAAATATAGAAGCTGGCCTATATATATGCACTTTAGAGGACATATACTAATTTCTTGACCGGATTTACTTAATTTTAGGAGACCCCATTCAAGGAGCCCACTAAATCATACAAAAAATCAAATTAGGGCATGCATGCCTTCTCGTTCCGTTGTTAATTAAGAGGGATTTGACTTAAAATCTCTAAAAAATATTTAATTAATATCATCATGATAAATATGCCGGCGATATATAGAGTTGACATAATCTATGTAATAATGTGAAGATAAATCCGCATAAAGTTGGCAAAAGAATTTAGTACTCATCTTATTAATTATGCTTTAAATCTTAGTGAATTTAAGAAGAATCATTATTTTTAATTCATTGGAAGCTAAATGAGGCAGATTAAATTAGTGAAACCTACTCGAATTCGAAACTTTTCAGTTTTCACATTTTTATAAAAAGTGAAAAGATTAATTAAACCACACTAGCTTATGAAAAAAAAATAATTTTATTAATACCAACAAGGTGTTGGTCGGAGTAGTAAGTCACCTCAATGTCTATAAAGATGAGAATACAAGTTTCATCCTGAGAAGCACATTTTATTAGAAAGGTAAAAATTTTTAAGCTTTACGGCCCGAGAGAATAAACCTCTCGGTTATAAAAAAAAACCCAAATAAATATCCTTAGCTATTAATTTGGATTTAAAAAAAAAATCGCAAAATCTGGGATCTCATGCAAGTATGGAGGTCTAGGATCTGGGTGACCAAAGAAGCACAGCAATAATGGTGCTTCACATGGGAGGTTGTTTATCTAGCTCACATGATCAATCATGTTATTTTACTTAGTATACAAACAACATTTTTAATTTGTAACCCTAATTATTCACTCACACACTCATACATACTGCATCAATGCGCATGGCTTCTTATTTTGGGCCATCTTGCAAGGACAGTACGTAGTGACTAGTGGAGGTACTATCCTTATATAGATGGCTTTTCTTTTATCGTAAGTGACCGATTCAAGAAAATTAAAAAATGAAAGTCTTATTTATATATATACACACATAACCCTAACTATGGAGAAAGGACAAAAGGGGCATATGTCAAAGTTGGTCAGCAAGAAGGCAAAGCACTTGCATTGCTGATGAGTCCATGAAAGCACGCCCACACTCATTATGTCGCTTTGGAAATATTTTCATTGCTTTAAAGGGATTTTAATGCTTGACTTCAACCCAAGTAAGAGTTTTGTGTCGTCCAGGTAAATAACAACCCTAACCCAATATACTTTTCTTACTTCTTAGTCTTGTTACCCATTAATCATGTGACTTGCTTTCTTGCCACCTTAGTATTTAAACCCAGTAAATTTTCAACCTACTTTGACGCAGTCAAGGCTACACTTGCAACTCTCTCCGTCATTCTTGTTCTTAGCTGTGATTATCAATCTAACCAAATAGGAATTGGAAATTCATCTTCTTGCACAGGTATGTATGTGCTTAAGAATCTTATCACTGCTGCGCTGATTATCCAAATAGCATATTCTCTAATTATCCTCTACCTGAGAAGAATTTTCTTGTAACTTGATAAGTTTATACTCATCTCTGCTTCTTATCTCTGTATCTTGTATTTGGTAATAAATTTAGAGAATCATGAAAAACTCTTTCGATCAGGTGAGAGTTTATACCTTTCATTCAATTTCTTTTAAAACAGAGGTAAACAAACAAAAGTTTATTAGTTTCACTTTTTGAAGTTTTAGAGATGTTTAGAGTGCTATAGCTATATATGCTGGTTCTTTTATGTTCAAGATATGCACACTTGATTCTAATAAGATTATTTCTATGTTCCTAGCCTTAACTTGAATAATTTGTTTAAGGATTTTATGTATAGGAAAATTAGAATTTATAAACTGAATGCAGCATGATTAGAGGGTTATTTGTTGAAACTTTTAGGCAAAACTTGAGTAAATGAAGAGCAATGGTATTTAACCTGCAAATATATGTAAACGTCATTGTCTAACCTAGCATGGCAATTTTAGTTATGCAAATAAAATAAATGTGTATAAATCACCACAGGCATAAAAGAAAATGAAAAGAAACTATAGGTGGTGATATGCAGTGAACTTTTCTTTTATTTATATGACTATAGTTATCGTGTCACACAGAATAATAAAAATAACAATAACAATACATTGGAGGGCCAAATTAACATTACTCGGTAAACAAAATAGTAACTTTTTTTAAAAGTTAATTACGCTTTTCAGCAATCTAAAATAGCAAATTTACATGTTTAGAGATGACTCCAGTGGCAGTAGCGAAAACTCAATGGTAAATGATCACCTTTTTTTTCTCTTTTTTGCATGTTAGATCAAATAAATTCAACCCACTTCGTTATTGATTGAATGAAACTTGCTAGTTGTATCCACACCCATTGAATGCCTCGTAATATTTATATGTGTATAGGACATGGATGCTTATATGTTCAGCCACCATGATCATAAGGCATTGTCTGTCCAAGTATATATATAACTGGTTTCATTTTTTACTGTTAAGTAATTTATGGTAACTAAGTTCAGCTAATAATTTAAGAAGGTTCTGTAAGTGTAACTCTATATGACTTGAAAGCAGCAGATACTGATAAATTGAAAATGTCTAAGTTGGTCAAATATGGGAGCTTATTTATATATACTCCCAAGATGATGTAATTTCCTGCATATCCATATCCAATTTAGCATTTGGCATAGTAGTTCTTTTTTTTTTTTTTTTTTTTTTTTCACTTTTTTGAACTGTTTAAGTAATTTATGGTAACTAAGTTCCAGCTAATAGATTTAAGAAGGTTCTGTTTAAGTGTTAACTCTATTAATGACTTGAAAAGGCAGGCGCCAGATACTGATGAAATTGAAAAACTGGTCTAAGTTTGTCAAATATGTGGAGCTTATTTTTAGTATAGTACCTCAAGAATGATGTATATTTCCTGCATATGCCATATCCAATTTAGGCTTTGGGCATAGTAGTTCTTTTTTTTTTTTTTTTTTTTTTCTTTTTCGCGCCCGCTCTGTTAATTGTGATAGAAAATTTTGCTGGCTACAAAAAAAGCTCATCGGTAACGAAACAATAAAGTTAGGAGACCATGAGAGAATGTTTGCATTTAGAGATTTTTCCAAGAAATTTAGGTTGGCTTTTTTTTTTTTTTTTTTTTTCTTTTCGCCCGCTCTTTATTGTGATAAAAATTTTATGGCTACAAAAAAAGGCTCATGGTACGAAACAATAAGTTAGACATGAAGAATGTTGCATTATAAGATTTTCCAAGAAATTTAGGTTTGGCTGATATAGCATCATTAATTATTAATAGTAAGGAAGAAATGTGTATGTTTTATCAAGACCAAAACAACAGACTATTCTTCATTCCATCAGAATATCTTAGCTAGGGACATGAAAATAACAGGAAAACCTCGATTTAAAGGTATCTTAAGTGGTTAAACATACAGAAATACAAAAATTTAAATAGAAAAAAACAGTTACAATATTAATAAAAAAAAACCTTCAAATGTAAATTGAAGGCTTAAGGTGCATTCAACATTCAACGGCTGAGTCAGTCCTCATGAAGCTCAGCCATACAGAGAGTACTAACTTATTTTCTGTTGGCATTTGTACTCTCTTTAGTTGCCCAGTAGTAATTTCTCATCAATATTATCATGGACACAATAAGTCCAATAATAGCTAAATAATAATGAAAAAAAAAGGCATACCCATTTTAGTTTTATTATGTACAGCCACTTGGATCATCCTCAAGACTTGTTTTCATATATATAACTGTAGTATCTATAATTAATTAGTATGCATCCTCTAGTAACTATATATTTTATATATATATATATATATATATGCTTTGATCACTTCCACAAATCAATTTGGCAACTAGATGTTGACGTTGAGGCGTATTCCTGCACAACTTCAGGCCTTTTAGACTCACTAGAGAGCATATTGATCTGTTCAACGACATGAAAGGCGGCAGAATTTGAGTAGTTAGCTTCTTTGGAAGCATCTTCATGGCTAAGCTGAGATGCAACAAATTTGTCAAGGACTCGCCAATCTGTTACTTGATCCACAGCTTGTTCACCATTGTTATGGTAATTGATTGAGTTCAAATTAGGATGATGATGGCTTTGTTGCACTTGTTCTTCCTGTGTAAGAGTTGAAGATTGCAAAGTGCTTCCATTATTATTCCTGTCATAACCATATGGAACTACCGATGAGTTGCAATTGGCACTTGCAGCTGATTGTGGAATTTTGGGACTTTCTAGTTGAGGAAGTTGGAGAAATGGGTCATGAGACATATTGTATTGCAATTCAAATTCTTGCTTGCAAGGATAGTGGTGAAGGTATGTTGTATAAGGTTGAGCAATTCGCCGAGGAGAATCAAGTTCAGGCATAAAGGAGACTTGGTCATCGTACCAAGAAGGAGAATCGTACTCGCCAACTTTCCTCATTGTTGGCATTCTCTTCTTGAACACCCTGCATACAACCCATCCTTCTTCCTGGTGGAATCACCATATATAATATCATATTTGACATACACTAAATTAAGCTCAAGTAATTAATTAACAGCAAAAGCGGAAGAAAGTCAAAGAGGGAGTTGCAGCTGAAACAAGTTTTGTGAAGAACCAAGTAATGTTTATATCCAGGGAATGATGTTACGCTTCTAACTAAAGGAATACAATCAAAAAAATATGTTGAAAATAACAGGAAATGAAAAATGCATAAAACCAAGAGAGAATTATATAAGAAAAGAAAAAGAAAATTGAGTACTTGCCTGAGGAGTTCCATTTTCATTTGTTTCGAGTCGATATTCATGCATTATCCAATCTGACTTTTGTCCATTTGGAGCTCTTCCTTTATAAAAGACTAGGGTTTTTCTCATGCCAATCAAGCTGTGCCTAGAATAGATAGCTTTGTCTCTTCCTGTAGCTTTCCAGAATCCAGCTTTTGTTGCCCTATTAGTTCGAGTTCCAGTAGGATACTTCTTATCCTTGTGGCTAAAGAAATACCATTCATTCTGCTCTTCAGTTCCTATTTTGCATAATTCTATGTATCCAAGCAAAAAATTATAATCAATATATGAAACAATTTCAATTAATTTTGATTCACGAGTATATCAGTAGCAGTAAATAACTCCAGTGTTATGGGAAAAAAAAAAGAACAAAGATATAGATAATTCAAAGACAACAGTACTGTACCTTGAAGATCCCATGGCTCTATTTTATAAAGATCAACATCCTTGATCACATCAAGATCAATCCTTTTTGCAGCTACCTTTTTTCTGAGGTAGTAATCGACAAGTTCCTCATCCGTCGGATGAAATCTAAAGCCTGGGGGAACATGTGAGAAGGTATTCATACTCTTCCAAGTACTAAAAAAAAAAAATACCTGCAATACAATGTTACCCATGATCAATCTTACATGCTTCCAATTTCAAGTGTTAGACACCTTAATTATATGTAGTAGCAAAAGTCAAAATAACAATAATGTAATGATACCTTGAACATTGGAAATTGCGAACCTATCCAACATTTGACTTTAAATTATTTAATATTACTTGTATGATTTAACCTCATGGATGCGTAATGCAATGCTGACCAGCAAAGTAAAACAATGGCAGTGATTACTTAAACATATTTTTGTGGCACTTTTCCAACAAAAAGGGTGGTTAAATTTCTGTACATTCAAAACAAGCTAAATTATTATCACTATCTTTAAGCAGTACATAATTAACCTTTGGACATTTATAACATAATAAAAAACAAACAATCGCTAATTAACTTAGTAGTAAATTTGATGTTTTATTATTTTTAATCAGCAAAATGAAATTATTTAGTATTTTAAATTCATGAAAAACTTAGCTTATTTAAGAAACTATGTTGGAATCATAAAGCTCTCTACTTAATAGTAAATGTGATGTTATCTTTGGCATATGTATGAGAAGGCCAAAAAAAAAAAAAAAAAAAAAAAATTATTTTAAGTATTTTAAAATGCATGAAAACTTAGGCTTATTGTAAGAGAACAGCTGATGTTGGAAATCATAAAGCGCTCCCTCGGAATTAATATAAATGTGATGTTATCTTTGGCATATGTATGAGAAGGCCAAAAAAAAAAAAAAAAAAAAAAAAGAGAAGGGTAAAATTAATTCAAGGATTGAAGATGCCCTTGATGGATGATGAATTGGGTGTAGAAGGTGGAAAAAAAAAAAAAAAAAAAAAAGAGAAGGTAAAATTAATTCAAGGATTGAAGAATGCCCTTATGGATGATGAATTGGGTGTAGAAGGGTGTTTCTCTCCTACGCAGAAGATTGAGATAGAAATTATATGTTGAATCATGGTACATTTCTTGTACAATTAAGTAAAATTAATGAAAGTAAACCAAAAAAAGAAAAAAGTTTTGTCACAATGTAGAATTAGAAAGGAAGATTGAAAATAAGTTATGTGTGTATTGGATAAGCCTATTGGATTGGGTTAGATTCCTGAAAATGTTAAATTTTTTTATTTTTTAATTCTAATAAAACCTTTCAACTTAGCATTACTTTTGCAATTCCCAGTCAGAAATATATATATATAAGTGTGTTAGAAAGAAAAGAATAAAATATCAAACAATTCAAAAATTATTCTGAATAAAATCAAGTCTATTTTGAATAAGAATTCAAAAGATCTTTTTTGTTTTGGAATGAAGAATCAATAATCTGTAGTTTAACTCATCGTTGGCGATATACTATCCTTGCAGTTGCACAACCAATCTAAGATCTTTCAGAGACAACGTAAATCAACATGTCATCTTAAAAATTTCATGCTTAGAGAAATTCTTTTATTTATAACTTTTATTTAGTTCTGTTCATAAATTTTGCAAAAACTTTTTTTTAAACCTCAAACTAAAACAAAAAAGCATTTTCCTCGAAAAAAAAAAGGACATATACAATAGTATTATTTGCATTATTCAACCATTAAAATGCTGAATAAAGGTCAAAATTTCATCTGTACCAGAACTTGCAAGTATCTTTGAAAGGTTTGACAATTTTATAGTTTGAAAAAGTAAAATCAAAGGAGCGGGAGAGAAAAATATAGGTACATGAAGTAAAAAATATCAAATCAACCTCACATAAGATTTAATATCAATTAATCAGAAAAAAAAAAAAGCATAAATTTCCTTTTAATTAGCTCACTTATCACATGGAACAAGTTTTAGAAAACAAAGTTTTTCCACTCAGAAAAGTGAATGCTAAATATATAGAGTATATGAGGAAATGAATCAAAGTTTAGTAGCTTTACTTTGTGAAACTTGCAAGAAAGGATTATATGATCATGAAATGACAAAATTATTGCACAACATCATAAGTAAGATGGCACCTTGTAAATGTACATAACTCCATATATAGTATTATACTTCATTTCTTAAACATATTTGTTGAACTCATCGAACATATGCCTCAAAGGAAAGGAGAAAGCACCAATGATTTAGAATCTCTCTTTAAAAGTAATTTGTAGCAGAATTCTATATGCCCTTAAATCCTGATATTGCAAAAGAAAATGATACTTCTGAGTCACGTTCGTGAGCATGAACGTGAAAAGTAGGATCTAGGCTACTAACGTCATAAAATGGAGAAGGAAAATTCATATAACATACCGACTCGCACATATATATTACACTTATATATGTATTATACTCATCGATTTGGATAATTCAAAATAAGCATGAAAGGATCAGTCATGAACCAGATTATGGAAGAAGAATCAGTCGGATCAAACACAAATCTCAAAAGAAGTGATTACTAAAGTTTATGATGTTCTATTTCATTGCGTTAATAATTTGTTATTGCTGAATGAAATCTTGTTGCATCTTTTGCATGCTTTGCTTGAAACTTAGGCATCCTTCCATAAGCTCAGTTATTATCATTCAAAAAAAGAAAACAAATCATTCAAATCAAAAAAGATTTTGCACCCGAAGAGGAGAAGAAGAAGGAGAAGAAACTGATGATAGTACTAAACCTTGATAAGATAACTCCTGCTTAGATCTGGTTGAAACTGCTCGATCGAATATAGATAACTGAGAGACACTTCGAACAGAGCTTTTTGTCACTCTCTTTCACCTTTTTAACAAGTACCAGACAAAAAAACACAGAAAGAAAGTATTCCTCGGGAATTGAAGTGTTTGTACAGTTCGATGAATGTAGAAAGAGAGAAAGAGCAGAAGAGAGGAAGATCAGATCCCGAGGAAGACGAAAAGAAAGAAAGAAAAAGAGAGAGAGAGAGAGAGAGAGAGAGAGAAGAAAAAGAAAGAGTTTAGGAATGGAGAAAGAGAGAGAAGATAGGGTTAAATAAGAAGCAAAGAAATAGCAATGAGTAGAAACACACACATGCCCTAATAATATATGTTTCTGTCTTTCTCTCTCAAATGTTCTCCTCTCTGAAAACTTTATCTTTTAAGTGGAAGCTTGATTGCTGGAAAAGCTTTGCGCGAAAAAGGGAAGGCGGATAATGGCTCAGGCTTTCAGAGAGAGAGAGAGAGAGAGAAAGACAGACAGATAGAGAGAGGCAACCTCCACCAGCAACTGATAAAGACTAGAAGAGAATGTAATTTCTTGAGATCAAACGGCGAGGAAGATTTGGATGGACTAGTTTAAAAACAAGTTTCCATCAGAGGACAAAAAAAAGAAAACATATTTTAATATTAAAAAGAAAAAAAAAAAGAAAAGAAAAGAAAAGAAAAGAAAAAGACATATATTGACATTGATGGTAAGCGCCATCGATTAGGAGATGATATTTTTGGGTGGTCGAGGTGGTGGTGACCTAGTTAGCCATGGCCAGTCCACAAAGCAACCTGCCTCTCTACTCCCTCAACTCAACTATCAAACCCTCTCCCTCCCGCCAAAAGTTACATTAACTTGTTTTATTAATCAATTAATTTTTAATTGTCCACTTCAATCCGCGTGGTGTACACGATCAGACTAATTATGATATAATATTAATATATTATACCTTTCTCAAATGTTCTGTGTTACAGGGGACATAACGGGTAAGGTAGGGGACGGGGTTGGGGTATGCATCTCTAGTAGTGCCCCCCGTAATTCTTCCTTCCACATTAGGGGATAGTTTTTCTATTCTTTTTTTTTTTTTTTCCAATTATTATATCTGGTTTAAATTTAAGTATAGATAAAGGCCCTATTTGCTTCGGGTAAAACTCAGATATATTACATTTTTTATGGACATCATTGATTAATAAATAAAATTTTATTTATTTATTGATTAAATCAAAAACTTTTTTTCTGTTCTTTGTAGCAATTCAATACTCAAACATCGGTAATCAATGAAATTGTCAAATTTGTATTAATCATTTTGAGCCCTATAAAAAACTTGTTCAAGTAGTTATTATATGAATCAACAAATTATTTCATACATAACTTGATAAAATAAATAAGATTATTTTATACAACAAATTATTATTTTCTTTAAAATCAAGAACATTGAGTTGAAGATTGGATTGTAAAGCACATTCTTGAGAAATATAAGTCAATTGACAAATGATTTAAAATCATTATGTATTATAATCAATTACATAGATATGGCCAAAAAAAACAATATAAATATAATGTTGAAATGTATGTAGTTCATCAATGGATATGATTTACGGCATGTTCTATATATTGACCTAGAAAATTTTCATCAGTCCACCAAAATATTCAAAAATAATATTTATATATGCAACTTGCATAAAAAATATTATACTATGTTGGTACGGACCAGACCATCACCATTTCTCCATTCTTTTTTTTTTTCTTTACACACTCATCAGCAACTTCAAGCTTACCAAAAAAGGATGGTAAAATAATAACAACCTTAAAAAAAAGAAAAATAAATTAGTTTCTAAAAGTGCAATTTTAAAATTAATAAATATATTTATATGGAATTAAGAAAGCGGGGCTTTAAGGTTTGGTGACATTTTTAAGGTTTGGTGGGCTTTATGATAAAATCAAATATTATCCAAGTCCTTACCAGCACTTGCCAATTGCACGCGGTCTCTGGTTGGTTGGTCTGCAATTTTATATTTCTTTTTTTTTTTTTTATTCTGTTCCAAAAAGCTGTCAATTTTCGGGCCCCACCAACCGACCCTATGTATCGCGATAAGGACACTTCTCCAAATTTCTTTTTGTTTTTAAATAATTGAAAATACGACACTCACAGCTCCGCTCAGCCTCCAAGCCAAGCCAGCCACAAAAACCTGAAGGTTCCTTTTTTAGGAAAAAAAATTTTCTTTTATTATTTTATAAATTACATTGAGGGTTTGTTTACGCAATTAATTCGGAGGAAATCTGAAAAATAGAAATAGTGTAAGCCTCTGTTGGTGGAGAAAGGGACCCACAAAAACGGAATGATGTTGAAAACTGAGAACGTGGCGGCTTATGGTCCGGCGTGCCGGCGTGGGCTAGCCACGATCATTAAGCTCACAATTTGGGCTGCAGGCCGGTTGTGTTTGTGGTCCCCATCCGGTTATCCCGTTTGGGCCCCACTGCGCATCTCATAGACGGGGCCCCACTTCACTGCACTTTTTTGCCAGTGAAGCTGATGCCTTCCGGGACTGCCACATGTACATATAACATTAGTTTTTTTTTGCACTTTTTAAGAATTTCTCTCTTATTTTAAAGCGCTAGTGCATTCCGGTAAGTCAAGTTACTAACCCTGTTGCTTTTTCTGGTTTATCGGCTAGGGTTAAGGTCTTCAGGGCAAAAAATATATATATAATGCTTGGCTATGTTTCGTTGTAAAAAGCATAGAAGTGAAGCAAAAGTCTCCAACGTTATCCAAGTGTCATCCTGTCCCACACCAAGCTTGCGTGGCTGTTCACAGTTTGAAAAGCTACAGTTTATTATAATTTTAACCCGGCGAACTTCAATCGGTGAATCTTCGAAAAATGAGAAATGCAATGTAGATGAGAGTACAAATGATATTCTACCTTATGGTATGTGATGTGGTAACTGAAATACACTGTACAAAATAATTTCTGCTATCTACTTGTCCTTATCAAATGAAAGACATGATGATATGATTTTTATTTCCCATTTCTTATTGGGTATTTGCATATGGAGAGAGGGATAAAAAATATAAAATTTTCCTCAAGTCTATGTGAAAATTCATAAATCTTATTTACAATATGTTGTTTGTTTTGTTGCCATTTAATGAAAATTAAGATTGAGATTAGGAAAAGTTAAGAGAAGCAGAAGCAGAAGTGGTGGGGGGCCTCTGTTAATGATTGCTGAAATAGACCCATAATTGTTTTGGTTCCCCACGTTCAACTAGGGATGCCCAACTCTCTAAAAAGTGCTTAAAAATTAAATTAAATTTGGAAAAAATTTATCCTTCTCCATCACATATGGGATAGGGCTGCCTTCTAATAAAAATCTGCTAAAGGGTTTTCCTTTTTAATTCATGTAAATTCTTTTTTTTTTTTCTCTCTTTTAAATTTTTTGGCATGGAGTTACTCGGTGAGTTGCTATTGGTTGTCTAGTTTACATTTAAAAAGTTTAAACTTATTACACATTATCAATACCAAAAATCTTATATTATATGAAGAAATGATATACCAATTTCAGAAAGTGTTACCTTGATAATGGAGTGGACTACAATCTGACAGTTGCAAAATAGATAGCGAAGGATGAAATTAATTGGAAAGCATAAGTGCTTTTAAAGCTCTCCAAGAAAAAAAGAAAAATTCAATAAATTTCAACTCTTTTATGTTAAGTTTTTATTCATGGATTTGAATTTTGAACCCTTCCATTTGCTAAATACATACTAATTAATGAACATTAGTTTTTATATCGAGAGGCTTAAACGTGATAGATTTTGAATAATAACTTGTATTTTAATTATTTCAATTTTAATCCAACTCAATGTTCAATATTATTACTAGAATCCCAATTGATTTTACGATTTCATGTTATGAATACTTGATATATTAATGGAGGTATGATATTGGTAAGTACAAAAATAATTTTATTTGCATTATTGCCGTCGTACTCCAACAATATTTCATTAATACTGGAATGAAATAATGAATAATATAAGCCTCTTGGATCTCTTTTTTCTTTTTTATTTTTTTGGCATATGTTTTTGGTCCAAGTATTTCCAAGAATGTATATAAATCTAGAAAGGGTATGGAGTAAAGCTTGGGCAATACAAAGTAGACTATTCCTTTCACAACGAATATATATATTTTCTGTTGACGACAGTTTACCATCTTTCTCCTCTCCAGGGGATGCTTTCAGGCTAAAATTTCAGAGTCATCGTATATATATATGGAACAAGTCAATTATATCATGGGGTCCAAAAGGCATTTGCTAGAAAAATTAAAAGAAATTTAGTTTCCTGATGGTATAGGTTAATCAAATCAATAGTAACATAATAAAATATTATTATGTTATATTTTATTGTTAACTGATATAAAAATTTAATTTTCATGAATTAAACGATTGATTAGTAAGTGGGATGGAAAACCAACTTAAAACTTGAAAACTCTTAAGCAAAGTAATTAATTAGTTTAATTAGGGAAATAATTAGTGTATCACATTGAGGAAAATTTCAGCTGAATCATTAATTAGTTGGTTCGCATATTAATTACAATTATAAGATTAATATGGTCATCTTAGCTTGAATTTTATGTTTATAGAAAATACATACCTTAGATTACAAGGTAGTATACCTATTTATAAATTGAATTTTGACTTGCAATTAAATTTTCAAAACATAATCTATTCGGACTAAAATCTTTATATAAATTGAGATCTGCAACCCGAGATATAATTAAATCTGTAAAACCATTATTTTCTACTTGTTAGATTGCTAATCCTAACAGTACTAATAGTTTGTTTATATAATTAGTAATATGATAATGTTAATTTTCTTTCAAATAACAAATTGCACCTTACGTATACATGACCTAATTCTGATTTTTAACTAATCAAATCAAACTAATTTTGCTTAAGAACTCGAATGAATCAAATCGAATAATGTCGGTTCGGTTCAATTTTTCTATTAAAACCAAACCCTTGTAACTGAACCTTCCTTACACACTGTAGCAAAGCCCGAAGACCAATTTTTGCTGGTTTCAACTTAAAAGAATCAAGAGATGAACCAAAAAGAGAGAGACAGAAAAGACAGAGAAAGAGCTGAGGTGTTTCTTTCTGTTAATATCAGGAAACAAGTACACGCGCATCACCACGCGGCAGACAAAGATTTATTAGGTCGCACTATTTGTCCCAAAAGCATGATTACCTTCACAAAACACCTAAACAATTAAGCACGTGACCCACATTTATTTTCTTCTTAATTAGAAAAGGAAAGGGTTATTAACACGTCACCACTTTGGGCAAATCTAGTTTCTTGTCCTCTTGCTGTTGGGTTGGTAGGTTTTGAATTCATTTATCAAATACATGAACATTATGTGGAAAAGGAAAAACATAACCCTAATGTTTTTTTTTTTTTTTTTTTGACTATTCCATTTGCTATTTCTAACGTTGTAAAGATTACATGTAAAGTTTTAATTTTTGCAAATGTCTCTCATTCATGGAAAATACAGGCACTCATTGTC